GAAGGAGGCAGTAGACTCTCTTGGACTCTGGGAGCCTGAGTGTCTGAATTCAAGCTTTAAGGTCCATTATCTCCACTAATCAAGGTAGTTTACTTGAAAATTAAAGACTCAATATCCCTCAACAATTGTGTAAATAAATGTCTCCCTGTATTCCTGCAACAGGACCCAAAGACTCCAAATTGTATAGTTCTCTTTCAAAGTGTTCAGTAATTACACAGAACACTTTGGAAGACGTGAGGGAAAAGATTCTTATGTATAATGTTATCATTTGTTTTTTCCTGATTAATATATGAAGTGAAAAAAGGCCATTCCATAAATATATATCATCCTCATTTTAACCACATTTTCATAAATAGACTGCCATTCGCTTCCTTTCACTCTCTCTGCACAGTGGTACTGACAAATGTCCCCAAACCAGTTAGAAATAGGAAAGAAGATAACCCACCTACAAAAGCAGCAGCAATATTAAAAGGGGAAAAGGGGCGAGGCTTGTGACCTGACAGTGTGCCACGTATCAACAGCCCTGTGGTCATAAAGAGCATTAATCTCATGTCAGACAGAATAGGGTTGAATCCAGCTAGTTCACTTATTAGCTGGGGAGCCAGGGGCAAATTTGCTAAGTTTCACTGAGTCTGGTAAGGGCTTCTGAACCAAGAGCTGACTCAGCACCTCCTCAATGGTAAACTTCTTAGAGTCCAGGGAAATTGCCACCCCATATTTGTGAGAGCCATGTCCTGCTGCACATGCCTCTCAAAGATATTTTTGGAGCCTTTCAGGATCAGGTTGGCAGTCTGAAGTAGTTACGAGACATTGGATAAATTGGCCTTACTTGGCACTGAACCAAATGAATGTCTAGTATTTATGGCCGCAATCTCCAAAAAGATGGAAACAACCTAACTGCCCACCAAGAGACACATGGCCACACACAATGTAGAACACACACAGTGTGGAATATTACTCAGATGTACAGAGATAGGGAGTTCTGACATCTGCTTCAACATAGATACACTGGATTGAAGACATTCTTTATGAGTAACATAGGTCAGAAATAAGAGGGTAAATATTATGTGCTCTACTTATCTGAAATATCCAGAAGAGGCATATGTAAACAGACATAAGTTTACTAATGACTGCTAGACACAGGCAGGAAGAAGGGGAAAAGGCCAAGCATTGCTTTGTTTCTGTTGGGGTGATGGGAAGATTTCGAAATGCATAATGGCTTTGATTACACAACATGATAAACACAATTAAGGTCACCAAATTGTATAGTTAAAGATTGTTAAACTGGCCAATGTTTTTATATATATATATATATAATCTGCAATGGAAAAACAGAAAGAAAGTCAAACTGGCCAATGTTTATATATATTCTGCAATGGAAAAACAGAAAGAAAGTCAAATTGATCAAAGATTCCTCCATACCAGGCAGAGCTGACATTTTATCACAACAGTGCCAGTGACTGAAAAATTGTCTCTTCCTCCTCCGTATCAGCCCTCTCAGAGCTAAGCTCAGACCATCGCTGCCTGTGCTTTGCTGGCACACACCAGAGGAGTGCGCGGAGGAGGGAGAACTGAAGGTGTTCTAAGGTGCACTGAATTCACGCCCGTCTAGGTGATAATCCGATGGGTCTGGCTTTCGTATGAACTCATTACCCACAGGGCCACCTATGCAATTTGAAACATGCCAGTGCTGTGCCTGAATCATTCTTTCCCACAAGGCCCAAGGTTCCCTCAATCAGCTTTTCCTGCTGTACAGCCGCTAACCCAGTCTGCATGGCTTTTTGGTTTTAAAGCTGCTAAACAGAAATATAAGTTAGCATCACAGTTAGATTTAAAGAATTTCCTGGCTAGGATTCTGGACACCATTTGGTCTAAAGAATGGAGTTCCAAACTTCCAAAGATTTTTTATAAACACAAACTGTTATGACTGAGGCCCCATTGGCAAGAATACAAACCTGTGCTAAAAGCCATGGATTAGGTAGGAGGCATTTCTAAACTTGGGAGTTAAATTGTTCATGACTGTATGTTACATTAGGAAGGAGGCTTAAAAATGGAGCTGGGACAGAAAATAATGTATTAGGATATAATCAGGATGTATACAATGTGCTTCTTATATAATGTTTACCTTATTTTTTGTTGTTGTGAGCTGCCATCAATTCAGTTGAAACTCATACCAACCCTACCAACGTGATAAACACAATTAATGTTACAGTAGAAAAAACACTGCCCTGTCCTGATCCAGCCTCACAATCTTGGCTGAATTCCAGCCATTGTTGCAACTACCATACCAATCTATCCATTGAGGGTCATCCTCTTTTTTAGTCTTTCAAGTTTACCAAGCCCAGTGTCCTTCTGTTTCCTGATAACATGTCCCAAGTATGTGTGATGAAGTCTCGCCATCCCTTCTCCAGAACATTCTGGCCATCCTTATTCTGAAATAAATTTGTTCATTCTTCTGACAGTTGATGTTATGTCCTTTGCCAGTGCCTTCATTCAAATGCATCAGTTCTTCCGAGGTCGTCCTTATTTATTATCCAGCTTCTCCATATGGCTGGAGAGACCACTGCACCCTAATACTCAAAGTGACACCTTTGCTCTTCAACATTTTAAAGAAGGGGTTCACAGATTTATCCAATGCATTTGATTGAATAACTTATTGCTTCTATAGGTGTTATATAACTTCTGCTTCTGTTTATATAAATTCTGCCCAATGCAATATGCTATTTGATTTCTTTACTTCCACTCTCATGAATGTTACATAATAGCTATAGTTCTTGGATAAGCTTCCTACTCCTGTCCCATGGAGGCTATAGTCACAAATTAAAAAACATAGTAGTTAGTGTAATAATAATCTTTTCAGATTTCTTAAGCAGTAGGGACCACTGCATTTAGCTATCACCTGTTGACCATTCTCTCTTTGTGTCTCTCATTTGTTGGAAGAAAGCATTCTCTTGGTTTAAAGAGAAAGAAACAGAGATGAGGAACTGAGGGGATTTGCCTAAGATCAACCACTTTCTACAGATCGAACAGAGATTAATATGCAAACAGTTCCAATCTGGAACATAGGTTTTAATCACTGCACCCTTCTATCTCCTCTGTTAAGAAAACAAGACTAGTAGTTGCTCTTGTTAGGAGCCAGAAGGTTGGTTTTGACCCATACTGACCTATGCGAACAGAACAAAACACCACCAGGCCCTGCATCATCCTCACAATTGTTGCTGTGTGAGTCTGTTCTTGTAGCACGATGTCAACCATCCCATCCAGGTGTTTCTCCTTTTGGCTGACACTCTACCAAATATGATGACCTTATCCAGTCCCTGGAGAAGGGCCCCATAGGCATTATGTAAAATATTCAAGGTCATCTTATTACTTAGATTTGACACAGATATTCAAATTATAATTACATCCCCTTTTCAAAAGTAAGTGAATTTCAACCTAGAGTCTAGGCAAGTTTTAAGTAGATCCTAAAACCTGCAACAGCAAAGAACAAAGGCTCATAGTGGATGTTTTAAATGAAAAGTCCATGAGGTACTGGCTGGTGACATCTTCTGTGCTCTGCTAACCCCTGTGCTACTGAAGCTGCTGAAGATGACGCCAAACGCCTGAATCTGTCTGCAAGCCAAAAGCTTTATCATAAGACCTGGCAGCTCATGATAAAGAGGCACTGGAGTTCCCAGAACAAGAAATGCCTTTCAAAAATTTTCCACAATTGTTCTTGCTTCAAGCTATGATAAAGTGTTTCCAGTCAAGTGCACCAACTCAAAGGAGCCTATTTTCTAATGCAGTAATAAGCCAGTTTGGGCCCAGCATATCTAAAAATCCCTAGTGTCACAGACCCTGAAATAGGAGAAAAGTAGAACCTGTTAGAAGTGGCTCATGAAGAATCCCAAATGATCCTAAAACTTCCACACTGGAAGGTTGCTGGGCCAGCGTCATCCAACTTCCCTCCAGTTTCCCTTAGCAAACTGAGCTGAGGGAACTTATTCTAAAGCCCTGAGCAGGTCTCTGAGCAGCTAGCCGGGATTGTGCAAGGAGGGGTTGGATATGGCCTGGTTTCAAACAGCAGCGGTAGGAGGGACCAGGCACTGCGCATTCAAACCTTTTGGTACAAACCCTCAAAATCCACTTCTGATTTCAGAGCTCCAATGTAAACTTCAGAGGGGAAAAAAATGAAGAAAAAGTGGCCACCTCCTGATAGGCTACAGAAAGCTAGAGAGACCACCAGAGAGAGAAATAATATGTGCCCGTGGTACTTTACACACAGAAAGGTCCTGGGCTTTCTCACTGTGTACTGACCGTCTGGTTGATTCGGACTCGCAGCAACTTTATAGGGCAGGGTAGACTTGCTCCATAGGGTTCGCGGGGCTATATCTTTACCGGAGCATACAGACTCACCTGTCTCCTGCTAAGCGCACTGTGGGTTGGTACCCCCCATCTTGGTTCAAAACCCAAGGCTTACTGCACTGGACCACCCGCCCTCTTTCGCCTACAGCAGTGAGCCCAAAACTCACTTGATTAACTGAAGAAAAGAAAGTTGGCAAACTGGAAAGAGCGTATTATTGGAAACAGAAACTGATAGCTTTCCAGCCAGGGCCTATTCGGGTCCCGGTCCCTGCTGGTAACCAGGCTAGGCAGGCAGGGGCAGGTATGACATGGTGCAGACTCACGACTGGATTACCAGCTGCCGGAAAACCAGCTGGAGACCAAGAATTCCAGCTTCCTTCTGGGTCCCCAGGGAGCCCCACGCAGGGAAGACCGAACGCGGGAGTGGATGCTGGAGCGGGCAGCGCCAGGGAAGGCAACGGAAGAAGTTTCAGCTCGAGCCAGAAACTTTTTTTCTTTCATTGGAAACCCAGTTTGCGCCCCACCAAGAATCGCCCGTGCCCGGCGGCTGCCTCGGGGAGATCGGGGTCCCGCAGGGCTGCCTCCGGCCCCGGGAGGAGACGGGCTGGCGAGCGAGAGGCCCCACACTCCGGTCCCCTGTCCCCGCGGGCGCTCACCTGCGATGTCCCACAGCTGGAGGCGCACCACCGTCTCGGGGTCCCAGTGGAGCACCTTGAGCGCGAAGTCCACGCCGATGGTGGCCCGGTAGTGCGAGGAGAAGTTCTGGTGCACGTAGCGCTTGATGATGCTGGTCTTGCCCACGCCCAGGTCCCCGATCACCAGCAGCTTGTACAGGTGCTCCTTGTGCGGGGCCTGCATGCTGGCGGCCGGCCGTGGGCGCCTCGGCGCCGGGAAGCAGAGCCCGGCCGGACAGGAGGCGGCGGAGAACGACTGCCCAGCGGGGAGCGCTGGAGTCGGCGGGCGCGAGGGGGAGGCGCGGGGCGGCTGCGAGGGCGGGACTACTCCCCAACCGCCCGGAGAGGAACGCTGGAGAGAGGGCGCCTCCTTCCCGTGCCAGCGCCCAGGGTGTGACAGGCTCCCTCCCAGGACTTTTCTCACCTGCCAGGGCGGCCCCGAAGCGGTGAGGTGTGGATTTTATTTTCCCTTTTTTTAAAGTGAGGGTGAGGAGACGGACCGTCCACGGTTGCGCGATTAGCTGGAGACCACAAAGTCGGTGAGCAGCACAGCTGGACACACAGCTAAGGGGACCCAAGCACCACACCCTGTAGGAGAAGAGGGAGGGGAGGCAGCAGAGAAGTCCATGGTCAGGAGGCACCTGAAGGCAGCGAGGGGATCAGCATCCAGAAAGACAAGGGAGTCAGCACTCCTTCGGAAGATGAGTTCTTTCTTGAGTGATCTTGTCTTCATTCCAGTCGCCTTAGGAAGCGAGACATTTTGTCCCAAAAAAGGTGAGCGATTCCCCAAGCACACGCAGCTAGTACAGGTTAGAATGAAGATTCAAACGCAGGCCTGTGGTAAACAAAATGCCAAGTGGGCGGTGTCCGGTGTCTCTCTGTCTTCCTCATCCTACCTAACAAACTCCACAGGGATCTGCCACTTATTTTACGACAGCGCACCCAGCGGGGCCTATGGGACCATGACCTATCTGACGAAAGCAGTCACCTCACATTTGCAGGAGTTGCTGCCCAACTCGGGGTGCCAGATGCAGTAGCTCTCCGCTGTAAGAGGGACTGTGCTCTAAATCTGTCACAAGTCCCCTAGCCTCATCAGGAACTTTGTTTCCCAAGACCCCCCCTGTGCAGCCACAAAGGAATGTCCCCTCAGAGAGACCCACAGTGAAGAGTTCTGAAGCCCGTGTCTGCGAGCTCTGGATGAAGCCGCCACGCCCTGCGCTTCTCCGGGGTCCTCTGCTCAGCAGCTGGGCATGTGGACTCAGAGGAGGAACTGGTAATTGGTCTCTTTTGAGTGCAGGGTGAAGTGCGAAGGCAGCTTCAATTGGCCTCGGGCCTTCACCTGCTCCTAAGCAGAAGGGTGCCCAGACGTGTGACTTGTACAACTCAGGTAAACCTCTCCTAGTCTTACCTTCCAAATCAACCAAAGGAGACCAATGACATCCATTTGATGGGTTGTTGAGAGGATGATCCTTACGGTGAGTAACAAAACGCCCAGCCCACTGTAGATATTAAACACAGGGAACTGGCTCTAGTACACTGGGTTTGGGCATTAAGGTCAAATGAAATGAAAGACAAGCAAACACTCTACATCATGTTCGTTGATGGAAATATGATGACACTCTACATCATGTTCGTTGATGGAAATATGATTAACAGGCGCTATCCAAAGAGCTCTGGTAGCAAAGAGAATTATACTTTGGACTGGTAACCTCAAGGTTATCAGTTCAAAATCACCAGCCACTCAAGAGGAGAAAGATGAGGCTTTCTGCCTCCATAAATACTTAGAGCCTTGTAAACCCACAGGGGCAGTTCTACTCTAACCTACAGGGACGCATTAGAACTGGTTTGATGGCAATGAGTGAGTTTGTGTTCAGCTTTCTCTTTTCTTAGACAAGGGGAATTCAGAAGCTTTGTTCATAATGGGTGTTGAATAATGGTTTATACAATTGCATCCATGTGAGATGTACTTAAGTTCTTGGATAAATAGTTTCATTCATTGGTTTCCTTCCACACAAGGACTCACCAGGTAGATTCATTCTATCTAACACATAAGCAAGTAAACCATCTGCTTGAATTATTCACTAACAGTATGACTTCAAAGTGCAGGGAGTGAAGTTCAGGAACCTGAGGTTCTTAACCCATATGTGAAAACCTGAAAAATCAGTGTCATCGAGTTGATTCTGACTCATAGTGATCCTCTAGGACAGAGCAGAACGACTTCTGTAGGTTTCTAAGACGGGAGTAGAAAGCTTCATCTTACCCCTCACAGCGTCTGGTGGTTTCAAACTGCTGACCTTGCATTTCACAGTTCAACACTGAACCAACTTGTGTTGTTTTTAGGTGCCATCCAGTCAGTATGGACCTATAGCCACCCTACGTACGCCAGAACGAAGCAGTGTGTGGTCCTTCCCTCTCCTCAGGATTGTGCCCATCTTTAACCCACTTGCACTACAATGAGTCATGGTGACACAGAAAAAGAAAAAAACTCCGTTCCCCATCACTTCTATATATCAAGACGAGTTCGGTCTGGGCAAAGAGATGAGGGAAGCAGACATAAGAAAGGGGGAAAGAAATTTGTGACGGAGTGGGCGGGTCCTCAGTGCTCTATGGGAACCAAGTTCCCGGCAGGTCTCAGCTTGCTTTTCTAGCCAGAGCCAGGCTGTCAACGCTCTTCTTCACCTGTTCCCCTTTCAGATCAGGAGCTATTGGAACATCAGGTGAACACGTTTAGAGGAACAAGTAGAGCAAGATCGGGGTTCCCCTGGGGCACGGAGCGCCTGAAATTTGAAGGGCTTTCTCTAAGCAACATGGCATGCGATGACAAATTAAAAAATTCAGCTCAAGGCATTGGAAGGGGTCCTAAAACTTCACCTTCATTGACTGTCAACTAATCAGCCCATGGGGGCAGGCGGTTCCTCTTCAGGGACAGCGGGCAATCATGGTGAGCCAACTTCCTGGCAAGGCAGGAAGCATGGGCAATCTGTTTCCAGAAGCCTTCCTTTAGGGCTCGTGGTAATTCTTCACAGTGGAAAGAAATTACTCACAGCTTTTAGTTTTAAGCCTGTTCAGTTAAACTTGCGCCGGAGTGCTCCAGGCTGAGAGTTCAGTGACCGCTTTGTAAAAGTCGCTCTAGACCTCTGACTGGGAAAGTCTCCCTAACAATTAGAATTAGGTTGCACGAGTTCTGGAGGATCCATTCGATTCTAAAATATCAGAACCCAACGATTTCTAGAATGTTCTGGTTGGAGCGACACGCCAGTTGATTCTAGTCACCCCAAAATGTTACCATTCCCCCCTCAGTGGAGTTTTATGCTGCACTCTAGTTGCCCTCTTTGGTAATGCTATTGAATGAGGGCCGAGAGATCAGGCAAAGGGCCGTGGAAAGGTCCTTTCAAATCCAACATCATGCCATACTGCCAGTTTTATATATCTTTGCTCAAGATGGAGCCATATAGCTGGGACAGGCTATAAACTAGATTTAGGTCAGAGAATGGCAAGATGGAAAAAACAAGATCACAAACTGAGGAAGCAGTAGGAAGCAATTAAGACCATTCACCATCTCCTGCCCCAAATATGTGTCACATGAACTCATCTGCTCCACTCTGATATGCCCCCTGTTTCAGGAGGGCAGGATGCTCAGCACTGTCTTGATAGACACCCAGCACCACCACCCACCCAGAGGGCTTGGCTCTTCTTCCCTCCTGATAGAATAGCTGGTATTGTGTCATGTGACTCCTTCTTTGTGCACCATGGAAACCTGTTTTCTGCAGTAACTCTCAAAGCATCTCTGGCGATGTCTTAACAATCTCCCTGCCTTCAGATTGCTAAAGCACAGCGCACCCTCTCAGGCAGGACAGGAAGGTAGGTGACTCACGTCTGTAAGAGCACTCGGATTCAAGCTGGGAGTAGAGTTGCAGGAGGCTCAGAGTCAGAGGTTTTCATCTCCATTTCCTTGTCATCCATCCAATGCGCATACACTGACTTGCTGGCACATGTTAAATTGGGGAAATAATTTAAATAATTGGAGATTGCTTTGCAAATACAATCTTGGCAATCAAAACACTCATGCTTCTCTCCCAGGGCTGCTGTGTTAGGTGAATTCCTCTGTAACCACCTGATTATTTGCTTTTGCCAGTTTTAGCGCCATAGGCAGTTATTCATCAACTTAGTGAGTTCTTAGTTATTATTCCCAAGAAGTGTTTAAATGGAGGCAAGAGACATTGCCAGAGGAACTGTGGTAGGGAAGGTGAACTGAATTTCCTTAGATTAATGCAAGTAATATAAAAAAAGAGATGGGCTTTAGTGTGCACAAGGCAAGAGATGCCACACAATTTGTCAGCCAAACTGGGTCCCATGCGAGTGAATAAGGGCACTATTAACAATGACACCAAATGACAGGCAAAACCAGGGCTGTCCTAAAGAATGTTCATTCCCGCAAGAGATAGTTAAGAATTCTCAAATGGGATCTACAAATAACAGTGGCATTTGGAAAAGTCTCCTAAATCACTATTTTAATAAATAGTTCTGCCAGGTTAAATCTGCAGCTCATTTCTCTGTTGTCTTCAAATAGCCCTCCTTTTATCCACTAGGTTTGTCTGCAACCTGTACTGACTTGATGGGCGTTACACTGTAACATTTTTCTGGCAATGTGCAAGAATTTTTACATTATGTGGAGAGTGGCCAAGATGGATTCTGTTCAGAAAATTCTTTAAATGCATATTTACAACCTTGAAGGGTTGAAGGTTGATTTTTTTTTTCTAGAAAGACTATGTTAAGATAGTCAATGATTGTCATCAGAATCTTATTGTGGATGGTTTTTAAACCCATCATTAGGATGGGCTAAGAAGACCATAGTATACCCTAAACCCATTTCAGCAGTAAGCTTATTCTCTCATTAAACTGAGTGTCAAGGCTGCATGTGTCCGATTCACATGTTTGACTTTCCCCCCAACAAGAATGAGTGGAAACAAGGTCCAGAATCACCAAAGGCAAACTTCTGAGAAGAAAATGGAACAAAATGATTTCTAGGAGCTCAGAATGTCAGCTTCTTTGTGCTGGGCATTTACAAGGGTTCAAATGCTTTGCTTTGGGTAGTATATTTAAACCTCATAACCATTGTATCTAAAGGGAATTGAGTTAAAATAAATAGTTAGCCATAGTCAAAGATGGAAAGTAATTGAATGA